AATTTCTTCAATATCTTCTTTAAGTTCAGCAATAGTTTTATTGATTAAACTGAGAAAAAGACCTTCTTGAATTTTTATTTGTGAAACACTACCAATCACTCATAAATCCCCCTCCTTAGCAAAAAAACGAGAATGAACACTATTATTAATATAATCGTCTATTTCTTTATTGGTATAAACCCCGCTACTCTTTAGTTGTTGTTTAATATTCTCTATTGCTTGGAGTTTTTTTTGGTTAAAAACCCGAGTAATGTCAGCCAAAAGTCTAATAACATAATTATCAGCAGCATCCAAATCATTGTTCGCAACTATTAAATCTTTTATTTCCTTTTGGTATCACCGAAACTCTGGGGCTAGTTCAGTTATGGCTATTTGACTAGCGGCTAAATCTCCTTGAATTCGTTTGTAAAATTGATTCTGGACAGTTTTTCGGTCTTCATCGCTGATTTTCTCATCTTCCTCATCATCCCATTCATCATCATCATCATCATTATTATTATTATTACCAGTTTCTTGTTCTTCATCCTGCCTATTATCATTGTTATTTCCGTTTCCGCTGCTACCTCCACCATTTCTATTTTGCTTTCTTTCTTGCTCTTTCTGCCAACTAGTTCAGTAATTTTTACCACTAAAACTAAGACCGTTTTTTTGACAAACTTCTAACATTTTTTGGTAAATCTCATCGGATTTAAAAATTTTTTTATTTCCATCTTTATCTCTAATACCAGCCCCACCCTTACTATAAATTTCCGGTTTACACCGTAGTATTTCAATATCTTGTATGCTGACATCGGTATTTCTGACAGTTAATTTTTTTAGGTTAAGTAAATCTTTTACTCCAAAAAGACCTCCTGTTAACTTGTTGTGAACCTCACTCCCATCCCGTGGGTCAACAATCTTCTCTCCCATAGATACATCTAATTCCTCCAAATTTTTAAGTTCGGAAAATTGCATTAACGACTTGGGACTAAGATTATTATTTCTTAGATTTAACACTTTTAGTTTAGGCAGTTGTTGTGTCGAGGTGGTCGAAAGCGAATTATGCCTACGCATTTCCTTGAAAATAACCGAAGTAAGAAAATTATTGCTTAGATTTAATTCTTCTAAATCTCAAAAGCCATTGAACGCTAATTCTCCCCTCAATTCAAGATTGCTTAAATCTAAACTTTTAATTCTTCTCCGCACCGAACCTTGGGCCCTTTCGCTCAGATCGTTATCACCATACCGCGGGTAATAGCGGTCTAATCACTGTTGGGCGGTTTCGCCTGGTCGTGGACCCCCCGGTGGAGTCTCAAAAGAATCGTCTATTTGCGGATAAAGACCTTTCATTTTGTTTTCTCATGCTTCATCCTCTTTCGGTAGTGCTTGTCTTACCATATTATATTTTTAATTTTTTATTATTTATTTTTCTTAACTAGTGGTTTTTTAATCGTTCTATTTGTTCCCAGTTTTATTAGAATTATAGCCAGTGTTAATAATATTCCTGCTCCGCAACCAATTAATATTAAAGGCAATTTACTTTCAGGTTTAATCAATTGCCCTTTTGGTGGACTAATTGTTTGAGTGTTATTAGTGAGGTATTTTCTGATTATTTCATTACGAACAGTGGCTAATTGCTGGTAACTTATAGTTTGTTCAATGGCTTGGGTTTCGGTCCTAGTCATTTGTGAGAAAGCATTTTGGAGCATTCGTAAATCAATTTGCTTAACCATTTCTAAATTTTCTCCACTCATATTTTTTGGAGGGAAGCTTGGTTGGCGTAATAACTCTTGTAGGCGAGTAATTACTTGTTCTAATTTAGGCTCGTTTTTTAAGTTAAGATTTAAATCAGTATTTAATTTTTGGGTTAATTCTTTTTCTTGCTGTTCTAATTGTGATTTATAATTATCCTGTTCATTTTTAATTTGTTCGTAATCAGTATGAGAACAAGTAGGAGGAGCAGAGCAAATGTGACTGTCTAACTGGGTTTGTAAATTATTCGCCCGCGTTTTTTCATTTTGGTAATCTTGCTGATAGCGGTCACGTTCTTGTTCGGCTTTTTGTCGTTTAGTATTGGCCTCATTAAGTTGAGTTTGGGCTGTTTGATAATCATTTGTTAATTTGTCTATTAATTGTTCTATTTTATTTATCCCTTTACCGTATTTTTCTTGAAGTTTTTGGCGAGAAATTCCTTTACCAACTAAATAACTAATTCCACTTATAGTAATGGTAAAAAAACCGTTTTGTGTTCTTCCTTTTTCCAATTTTTCTTTCCATTCGCGATTTTGGTTTAATAATTCCTGATTATCTTTTTTTAACTGAATATTGTGGGAGGTTTGAATTTGAAAGTTTTGTTTATTTGCCTCCAATTCCCTTTTTAGATTATTTTAGTCTTGATTAGTAATGTCCGGTCGCAAATCTCTTTGTTTTTGGGCTTCATCACGTTCTTTTTCTATTTTGGCAAGTAGGGAAGATAAGTGAGTTGCTTCGCTTTCCTTTTTGTTTTTAGCAATTTCGAGATTTTGAATAATAGTTTGGTAGTTAGTTTTTTCTTGCTCTGAATTTTGTTTTTCCTGTTCTCATTCCCTAGTTAAAATTAGATTTTTATCTTGGAGGACTCTAATCTCTCCTTGTAATTTTCTATTTTCTTCACTATTGCTTATATGCTGAGAAACAAGTTCGTTTTGCAATTTTTCACACTCTTTCTCTTGTTTGGTTAATTTTTCTTCTAACTCCTTAATCTTGACTTGGAAGCTTTCCTTGTTTTTTTGCTTTTCCGTAATCTGATTTTCGTTAACTGTCCTTAATTCACTATTTTCCTTATTCGTTTGGTCTAACTCGTTGGTTAATTTTTTATTGTTGCTTTCTAAACTTTTTATGGCTTGTTTATAAGTCTTTTCTTGTTCGGTTAATTCAGTAATTTTCTTTTCTTTTTCCGCAATAACATTTTCTTTCTCGCGGAAGTCTTTTTCGCGATTTTTCAGAAGTTTATTTTCTCTTTTGGCTGTTTGTAGTTGTTTCTTTAAATCTTTATTTTCTTCTTCCAATTGTAAGTAACTGTC